ACTGCTCCGATTCTCCGACCCATCTCACGCTCCATTGTTCCCTCACTCGAGAACAAGACCCTGAGATACTTGAACTCCTTCACTTGGGGTAAGGACTTATTCCCTACTTGGGACAGTCCATCGGTTTCCTACTGAGAACCATGGCCTCAGATTTGGAGGTGCTGATCCTAATCTCCCAGCCGCAGACCGATGAAGCCATTAGAACCACATCATCTGCAAAAAGCAGTGGTGCAATCCTCAGTCCACCGAACTGCAGACCNTGTTTCGAGACTTGTAAATTTGTCTCAGTTCTTGTAAGTGTTTCGCTAATGTAATTTTGTTTTATAAAATGTACATTTGTCTCTAGCTTTGTAAAAGTGTTTCGCACTTTGTAATTCTCGTTTGCACTTCTCAGCCACCTTAGTAATGTGTTTAAGCACACTGTAGAAAATATTCTATATATANTGCTAAATCTGTCTAAAAATGTCAAATATCACTTGTTTTGCATCAATCTTGATACAGGGTACTTATTATATGTAGTACTTTGGATTCCTAAAGCTTATAGTCTACTAGCCCATCATCCAAGGTTAGTTTTCACAATAAGTACAAAATATATTTTGGACAGACACTATAATTTACAGTTTTTTACCATGTTCAATCTGAATTTTCTTTAAAATAAAAAACATCTATATTGAATCTGACTTTTCTACATCCAACTGACAGGTTTATCATTACTTTGAGAAAAAAGATTATTAATTTAACCCTTTTAGAAGGGAAGATATGGTCATTTGTTCTGGGAATGTCATTTTCGAGCCTGAAACCTGAAAAACAGGCTCTGGGTTTAACAGGTTAAATAGCAATGACATTTCATACAAATTGCATTGAATTCAAGTACCAAAGAAAATTAATAATAGTTACTTTGGCAAAACTAGGAAATATGTATAAACAGTAAACCACAAAAAATGATGATTATATTTATTGAGCTGAATATCGTGACAAATTGAGCCCTATTTTCAGTTATCTGTCATGTCCGCTGTATTGAAAGCTAATGGAATGGAATTGGTTTGTGCATTTATATTATGAAATGCCTTTGGACTGTCTGCTATATATATATATGTTGTGTTCCTCGTCTTGTCTGTAGCTTGATTCAGGCTCAGTTGGGCTCCATTTCGATCCAAGAGTTTGGACTTACACAGGACACAGTGAGGATCTTCAAGAATGGGATGCGCATCAGCAAATGTACGTTGCTAAAATCAGGGATAACAAACAAACAATGTACACTCTGTTTGAATTGATATTTGTCTAAACTCTGATTGTATTTTGATGCTGAACAGGCCTGACAGAGTTTCTGAGTCACCGATCCAAGACAGGTTTCTCTGCTGTGCTCCACTCCCTGATGCTGGCTAAGTGCTTCAGAGCTAAACTGTGGGAAAACTCGCCCTACGTCTCCAAACAGCTGGAGAAGATAGGTGCATCCACATAACATATTATAAGATCTTAAATCGAGGGCTTTTCACATGCATTTTCAAACCAAATCTTAACATTTGATAATAATTCACTGTGTTTTTCAGGCCAGACACTGTCAACTGCCATGGTGAATGCTGGACTCACCACTTTCAGCAAAATAGAGCAAAGCAACCCCAGAGAGCTGGAGCTGGTCAGTTTCCCTCCCACTGCTTTTATCCTTTTCCATCCCTAGTCGTTCCTCTGTGAGGGTAGTGATGTTTGGCTCCTGGGGTTATACTATAGTTCAATGTATCATTCCTAATGTTGAGAAATGAACAATACACCTTCTCTTCCCTTCTCCCTGTCCTAGTCTCAGTCCTCAGTGCAAAAGTCCAAATCCTTTCCAAAATTCTAAAATGTTTTTATCCTACAAAATATTTTTACTTCAACCCTCCTGTTGTCTTCGGGTCAAATCTGACCGATTTACTACTTTCGTCAATCTTAACTTTTTTGTTTTACATTCGATTGAATTAAGGCTTTATGATATCCTTCACAGTAGACATTGGAACATAGAAAATTGCTGATCACCACTTTCATTGAATTTTGGATGATTTATTCAATTTTGTAACACCCATGGTGTTCCCGGTCAAAAATGACCGCCATAAAGAAAAGGAATTAGTAACCATCTGGATCAGATAAAACACACACACGAACACACACACACACACACACACGAACACACACACACACACACACACACACACACACACACACACACACACACACACTGACGACTCGACCGAACGGACACCGACGGCACACACACACACACACACACACACACACACACACACACACACACACACACACAAACACACACACATACTCTAGATGTGTTCTCCCCCCTTATGTGCCCATCCCCCCATGTGGATCACACCTGGCACACGCAATACATGTTCAGTGTCTATTCTTTGTTTATTTACAGTTGTTCATGTATACCAGTAGTCTGATACAAT